TCATCCAGCTCGAGCTCCAGCAACACCAATGTATGGGAAGATTTCTGCACCAGCGACGTCGACACGCACATGTATGCGGGCAAACCGCTGAATGAGATTGTGTTCTGGCGCCGAGACGCGGTAGATGGGGTCGAAGGGGAGCAGCAGCAGCAGCAGCAGCAGCAGCAGGAGGAGGATGATGATGGTGGATGGACGAGGTATGACGTGGTAGAGCTGACTGCTTTCCGGATCAACTTGACTCGTCTTCACGGCGATGGTCAGCAGAGCGATGGCAGGGATGACAGTGGCAGCGATGGTAGAGGTGGATGTGGTGGTGGAGAGAAGAACATGTCTCATCACACTCACAACCACGACCATGACCAAGACCATGACGACCAGGACCAGGTTCACAAGCTCGTTCTTCAAGATGCCTGGACGTAAAAGCCATCGGCCGCGAGGAAGAGCTAGATCATCTGAACCCGTCACACTATACTATTTACTCTGCACTGCACTGAACTACGCTACGCTACAGTGCACCAAGTAGTGAGAACAATGCAACGACAATGAGGAGGATTCACGACATGGCATGGCCTGAAACGACAAGACATGACAAGACATGATCCAGGCAGCGTGCGTGCCATGAGGTCAAGGATGGACAGACATGGGTGCAAAAATACATAAAAAGGAAGGAAGGGAAAGGGAAGAAGGGAGGCTTGTCGTCAGAGAGACAGACAAATACAGACAGACAGACACAGACAGACACAGACAGACACAGACAGACGCAAGGAACAAAAAGCAGTCTATACGACTGACACTGACGCAGTGCCGACTGAGTCAGGTTCATGTTCCTTGCTCGTGCTTGAACATGCCATGTATGTATGAGTGTACTTGCAATATCACCTTGATACACGGCACATGACACGTTCTCTGTCTTGTTATTATACATAATCTGGCTGGCTGGCTGGCTAGCTGGCGCGGCCGCGCCCCTCGGATGGCTGGTGTTGAAACAGCGACCATAAACACCCACATTTGTTTCTCTTCTGACCACGGACAATGCCACACATACTCCCTCTTTCTATTGCCACAGCAGCTCCAAACGCTCACATCCTCGCAGCAAGAGGTTCTTACTCTCTCTCTCTCTCTCAGGGTAGCAATCGACCGCTTACCTTCCTGATGACAAGTCCATCCTCGGTGCATCCGCCGTGGCAATTGTGGCGGAGGTCCCCTTCTGCGTTGCCTTCATCACCACATCGTACAGCCTCCCATCCCTCAGCGCCGCGTAAATGACAGAGATCCACGACCCGATCGTCTTGACAGGACGTCCGTCCAGATTGTTCCTTATTACAGGATCCTCGATGTGGCCGCGGTGGAACGGCACGCCCAACTCCTCCCGCACGAAGTGGTAGAGGATCTTGGTGCCCTTGCCTAGATACTCGGGCGTCGTGGGACGGTCGAAGAAGCTGGCCCGGTGGAGCAGGAACGCGTCGTACATGACCTTCTGCAGCGCCTCCAACCAGGCATTGTGCTCGCGCGCAAATCGCTCCTGGCAAGATCCCTGGTCGCGGTACTTCTGGTCGAATTGGTGCAGGCAGCTCAAGATCGGCTCCACGGTGGCCTTTGCGACCTTCTCACATCGATCTGCGGCGTCACTGCTGGCGGTGGCATACCATGTCTTACGGATAGACGCCCATATATCGCTTGCGAGTAGCTTTATCTCATTGTCCGCCATCCAACATCTAAAGGTCTTGCGGATGGTAGCCTCGGCAACGTCCTTGAACTGCGCTAGGAAGGTCGTGTGCATGGTTCGGAGATCGACGCCCTGAAGCCCAACATAGATGGCCGACGCTGACATCAGGTGGACAATCTCAACGCTCTGCATTGCATAGCGGGCCGAAACCAGAGCGAGCGAGTTTATCCCCTGGTTGTGCATTTCCGCCGACTGCACGTGAGAACTGACTGGGTTGGCCAGGAAGGCCAGCTCTGATTGATATGCCGCCATATTGATGTCGACGCCTTTGGCAAAAAAGGAGAGACTGGGGTCGTCCGAGGCCAGGTTTGGTGGCAGCCCGTTGTTGTAGGCGGGATTGATCAGCTCGCTCGTCTGGGCGAAGAGCATCTTCCCGATCATTTGGAGACACAGTCTGATCTTCTCAGCAACCATTGTCACCGACGTGGCCTGGAAATTGCCGCCGCAGTGGACCTCGCGTGCTTGAAGGTCAACAATCGGGTTGTCGGTCGTCGCGTTCAGCTCGACCTTCAATTGCTCAGACGCGTGAAGCAAGTCTTCCAGCAATGGACCGATCCACTGAGAGGAGGTTCTCGTGGAATACCGATCCTGCACAATCCCTTCCTTGTGACGATTGGCGTGGTCGAGGCCCTCGACGAGTCTGGATCCTTCGAAGAACGACCGCTGGTTCCGCGAGACTTCAATTTGGCCGGCATGAGGACGGACGTCTGCAATGTATGCATGAGTCCACTCGACATTTCCCGCCAGAGCTTCCGACGAAAGGCAGGTGATGAGCTGCGACAGGATTGCAAGCTGGTTCGCCTCGTACAGCGCGAGACAGGCCACCGCAGCGGAAGGCGCCGTCCCATTCACCAATGCTAGCCCTTCCTTGGGTCCGAGGACGATGGGTGAGTATTCGATGCTCCTGCCATTGACCAGTTGCTTGCCATGCTTCGCCTCATCGTCCAGATTCAAGCGCTCGATGTCTTTGAATGCTTCTCGAGCGGTCATGACCTTGAAATCCTTGCCTTTTCCGGTTCGGACGAATGTGTCTGGATTTCCCTGCAAGGCTCCAGCAATGTACGAGAGTGGCATGAGGTCACCAGACGCGGAGATTGAACCCCTGAGAGGCACTATGGGTGTCATATCTCTCCGGACAAACTCCACAAGAGTGTCGGCAATCTGCAGGCTGATGGCCGAGTGGCCGCGGATGTTGGTGTTGCACCGCACCAGCATGGCACCCCTGACCCACGCTGAAGGCATGGAATGGGGGCTGGTCTCTTCGTGGCCATCGTGCACTGCTCCGAGATCTCTTGGGGTGAGGACGGCCGACTGTTGATGTTGGATCAGAGCTCGCTGGAGGGAGAGCAGCTCGTTGGTGCGAAGGTCCGCACTGCCTCCAAAGCCGGTGTTGATGCCTGTTGTTTGGTGCCCTGTCAGCCTCGGGGAGGGATCAATGCGGTTACAAACCCTGTCACTGAGCTCACCATAAAGCTTGCTACCACCTCCAAGGTGAGCGTACAGAATGTCTTGCCCTGCTTCGATGTTTTCCAGCAGCTCGGGAGTTCGCTCGATAAACGGCTTGCAGCCAAATCTGGAGCTCCGTGGTCAGAGGGAAATGTCTGTCTGCGCAGTCTTCCTGGCTGGGAGCAACGCACCTCGACACGGCAACTACAGTGGAAATGTCAAGCTCATGTCCATTTATCTCCACGTCGCCTTCCCTGGCCAACACCTGGACGCGTGCCACGAGCTCACATGTCGCGTTGAGATGTGGCGTTGGGCGTTTTTTGCCTGCGCGAGATCGGCCAGGTGACGGCGGGTTGACCGTCATTGCACTTTTCTTGGTTCCCGGAGAAAATCGGACCGTGTCGAACAGCAGGTATTGAGGGGCTGTGTAGGAAGCTGTTTGGGAAGAGAATGTGTACGAGAACACGACAAGCAGCTTTTGAGCTGAGGAGTTTTTCGCTTGGCACTCAGGGGTAGTGGTGGTGATGGTGATGGTGATGGCGGTGACAGTGACAAGGTGGTCTTTCTCTGTCGAGGCAGCCTTGCCGACCACCTCCCAGTCAATCAATCACCCGCACCGGCTTTTCTCTTTGTATCTCTGTACATGATGACTACACAATGTCTTGGTTGGGGCCCTTTCATGGGTTTCTACTAGGGAAGCAAACACATCACACAAACATACAAACATACAGTGGACATGTACTCAAGTTGCGCAGTTTGCCATCAAACTGCAAACCGCCACACTGCCACAGCTTTCACCACAAACCCCGGATCTTGCCACGTTGATGCAGCGTAGCAAACAAGCACGACGCCCAAGACGCCCAGGTTACGGAGCACATGCAGGCGATTTTTTGGACGTTTGTATGTTTGCAGGGTCTGGGCCTTGGACACACACATAGGTGGATCCATCATCTATCAGGCGTCGTCTATTTTCCACCGCAGCCCTACAGCCTTACAGCCCTACAGCCTCGTGCACGATAAGTGGTCCAGGGGCTGGAGCTAGGATTGGGGCTTTGACATGGGGTTCTCGTCCTCTGGTAAGGGGACGCTGGTTTATCACCACTGCGGTCACGGAAGGGCAATATAGAGAGAGGGAGAGAGAAATGAGGGGCGGAGAAAAAGGGGTCCAACAGACCGACAGGCAGACACACGGGCATGCATGCATGAGAATCATATCCTCCGAGTACATACATACATACAAACATACCTAAGGTGGATAGACAAACACATACAAGCACAAAACACACAGCCATAAATACATACACACACATCCTCAAGTCTCTCACAGGCTTACAAGTCCATGCAATCGTCAATGTCATTGTCATCGTTTGAGCTACAGTTACGAGTTACGGTGGAATACTCGGTGAAACCCAGGGGCATGCATCGAGACCATCGGGGGGCGGGATCTATGACATCTGTAAATAGGATGAAAGAAATCCTTTTCCATGGCACAAACGCACGACACTGTTCTGTTCTGTTCTGCTCTGTTCGGTTCTTCCTTGATACATGGAATCGAGGCATTAGCCCTTTTCGCTAGACTCGTGGACCGATAAAGCTAAGCTCAATCCCAGACTCTCAGCTCCAGCTCAATACACTTTGAAACACCTCTCAGAGGCAATGCAAAGCACATGTTGTTTCCAAATCATACACTCTTCCATCCATCCCCTGGACATGCCTGGTCAATCAGCATGTTTGACAACATCCGATGGTTGACCTGACGAATGCCATTCGAACAACCAACGAGGCCTTCTCTGCCAGCCAACATATCCCCAAGGCCACCAACAGGTCTTCAATCCTCATCAAACATTAGCTCTGCAACGTCACTCTCAGCAGCTTCCTGGTTGTCGTCACCAACCGCTGGGACGGTAATGTCTTCTTCTTGTCCTGAATTCATCTCCTCCGATTGTCTCAATTCTTCCTCCGTCAGTTTCTGCCGCTCATCCAACTCTTCATCCTCCAGATCGGATGCATTATCCTGATCGCCATCCTGCGTGCCAACCTGATTGTCCGAATTGTCCTCAGATATGCCATGAATGACCTTGGTCCTAACCCATTCGTCGGCGACCGTCCGGAAGAATGGGTGATCCTCTGTCAATAGTTTCCGTGCACAAATGTATCCCATTGGAGTGTGAGTAAAGTCCTGACCCCGACTCCTGGTACCAAGCCATGCGTGCAGGAAGATCAGCATCTTGGCAGCTTCCATCTTCGCGGCCTGGGCCTGCTGGGTTTCTGCCACGTCACTGGCCATCTGTTGTTGTTCACTCGCAAGAGTCTGGTTGTCATCGGAAGTGCCCACATCATCAATCTGCGATTCTTCAATGGCCGAATCCAGTCGATTGTGGGTGCGGATTAGTTGACTATCTTGCAGCCCCAAAAAGGACCGGATCTGCTCGAGTTCTTCGAACGGAAAGTAAAGACGACCGGCAAATATGCCAACCTGGATCTTCAGCCACGTCGGTGCGGACCAGCCCAGTGGGAGCGGTGGTACGGCATAGTAATTCAAGTCGTTGAACTGGAGCATCTTCTGCGTGACAGGCGCCGCGTAAGTCAGAAGATGTACCACCCTCTTCGGGGCATTTCGGCAGAGGTCATTCAAAATTTCTGCCTCTTCCGGGCTCACGAGGATTGCTGTCTCTGTGGCCAGACTCCAGAGAATATACTGGACGTCGCGCTGCAATTAAAGTCAGTAAAGAACAGCGATGGATACGACGTACTTACCAAAAAGTCATCATTAGGTCTGCCAGAAGGCACTATGACCGCACGCCGGAATTCCGCAGAGACAAGCAGTTGTGGGGTCGCCGGGAGACTGGCGGGATATTTCAGGCTGGTCTCAGTCCGAGCCATGTACGAAAATGCTCTTTCGCAGACCTTGTCATCAGCCCTTAACGACCCCGTCTGTACAAAATGTCTGATCTCTGCGGCGAGTCCAGAAAAGGTCTGAGGGTGGAAGTATAACGGGTTTTGTCTTTCACGGATCGTTTCCACTTCCACGGCAACTTCACGTTCCTGCTCAACCTCCTGCAACGCTGAGGCGTGCACGGCATTTCCGGAGTCATGAAAGGCCTTCCGTCGTCGTTCGAGCTGCTTGACATGCTTGGTAAGACTTTCATCGAACTTTTCATCTCGAACACGTTTTCGAGGCTTCGCCGAACGTGGCTCGTAAAGAGCTTGCAGAGAATGCTGTTCGTAGCTCCGAAGAGCGTTCAAGTAGGCAAGTCGCTCAGCTGGATGCGTCAAAAATAGGGGGTGGTCACGCTCCGCTTGTGTTCGCCGGCAGTAGTTGAGGCCTTGAGCATAATAGAGTGGTTGGAGGTTTTCAAGGCCCTGACAGGTTTGTTCTAGAAGCCAGCACACCACATCACGAGAGGTGAGATGCCAGTGTTCTCCTTTGTTACGAAAGTCCAAAATCGACTGGTGGACCTCTGGTGGTGCGAAAAACGTGACCGATTGAGTGGTTGCCAATTGCCGAAGACGCATGACGGCTTGAACGGTGTGGTCTTTGGTTTGACCGAGACTGAGCGTCACTGCACCTCGAGCATCGGGCGGGAATTTCATATCTGTGCCTCGAGTGTGAGATTCGTCAAGGTACACGAGGCACCCGCTCAGATCATCTGCAAAGGGCGATGCCAGTAAGGGAATCCGTCGCCCACTTCGAGACAAGACAGTGGCTTTGTTGTTCTCGTCAAAATACACGGCAGCTGTTGCCTCTGTATCGATATCAAGCCACATCTTTGCCAGTGTCGCGTTGGTCATCTCCAAGATGATTGCACCAGAGTCGATCAATATGCGGATTTTCTTGTGAAACAGCTTGCCTAAAAGATCAGGCTCGCTCAGTCTTCGGTAGACGCTCCGTCCGTGGGAGACATCTCTCCAGCCTGCAAGGCTGTATTGCCGGTTCCGGTCTTGTAACAGATAAGTCAAGACCTCAGCGTTGGTATGCGCCAATTCCACCAAGTCGTCCTGTTTGATGGTCAGCGGCAAGCACAAGCGGTTGTCGTTGGTGCCACTGAAGCCTGTGGTCAGGCTGGTTCCGCTGCCAGCTAAAGGAAGATCCCATCCACTGGCTTGGAGCTTGACCTTGAACTGCTTGGCGTGTTTCGGAAACACAAAGTTGTTGAGGAAATAGTCGATAGCCGCAATGTTGTGGCAGACGCCGCGCCATATTTCCAACAGCTGGAGGCTGTCTTCAAGATTGATGGACGTCCAATCTCGAAGTCGATCGGGCAGTCTGGTGCTGTCTCGGGTCCATTGTTCATATTCCCTCGCCGGGTCATCCGATTTTAGAATCTGCTCCAGGCTCTGTTTTAGCTGCTGCGGAGATAGTCCTTGGTAGTAGAAAGAGAGACAGGTGAAAAGTAATGACACGTCAACGTGACCCCATTCAGCAAGATGTGACGGGACACCCTTGGCTAGATATGGGACCGCCACTGGATCTCGCAGGGGATGGAGACCATACTGAACGTTCCATCGTCTGCTCAGCGTGAGGATGAGGATCCGATGAACAAGGAGGCCACGAAGGAGATATATGATGCTACCGTCAGTCTGGCTGCTCTTGTAAATGTCCGAGATGCACGCATTCACAGCCTGATGCGGTCTTGCCTCTGTAATGAACGATCTTATGGCCTCTATCTCAGACGAGGAGAAGTTCTCTGCGTTCAACAGCGGTGTTCGCCCACTGCAGATATCATTCGCGATCCGCTGGATCAGCGCGTTTTGGACGTCATTCCGGAGGAAGTAGGTGAACGGAAAGCCCCCAGTCTCGCGACGGACCACTTGAATACTCGATTCATGCGACCGCTCCAGCACATACAAGTGTGACTCGGCAAGCTTGAGGATGGCTTCTATTGCCTCCCAACGATAGTTGCCGCCATCGACAGTAATTTGCGGGCCGGATGGATAGATAAGTTGCGTCTTGACTGCCATTGTAAAATCGCTTTCATCGAATACATCTCTGCTCTTCCCGGTAAGCCACTTTTGCACTTTGATCATTTGGGTGGCTTCTTGGGTTTTCTCATCCACCAGCCGTTGTTGACCAGAGAGCATGAAAGACATGATGTGTTCTGGAAGTGCTATGATGACGCCGGAGCTTTTCAAAATGGCTTTGTGGATCTCCCCATACGCCTGAATATTTTCTGGATTGGAGGGAGTGCGGCGGGAAAACGGCACATGGCGTAGTTCTCTCCCCAAGAGGCCGCCCAGTCGTAGTTGCAGTAGTTGTGCAGTCTGTAACAGCAGAGCCTTAGGGACGACAATTCTGCACAGTGACTGACCATTCGCTAAGACAGACGCAACCAGAGGAATGATTGTTGACGTCTTTCCCTGGCCCATGTTTAGTTGTAGTACTGAGTTTGATCCAGACGCCGGCGATATGGTGGCCAGTGCGACCTCGACCTGAATGGGACGGATGAGAGTATTTGTATCGATCTCTAGAAGTAACCAGTCGGGATATTCGTTCGGATTCCAATTGGAATGACCCGGGTTTTTCAATTCTTCGTGAAGATGAGACTTTCTGCGAAGAGATGCGTCCTGTATGCGAAGAAATCGCTGCAACTGAGTGATTGCAACGCCAAAATCAACAACGGCGGCTCGCATTGATGCTGTTAGTGGAATGGAACTGTTGCTGCGCAGAGTCTCGAGGACAGATACATAGGTTGTTAAAGGCCAGATCCCAACTGCATGTAGCCAGGTCGCCCCAGGCTCGTCTCTCTGAAAAGCCTGTACTAGCATATCAAATCGCGAACTCACGGCATGCTCTGCCTCGGCGATAAATTGATTCAGCTGATTCATATCAAACCTTGAAATTTCTTCGACAGGTCTTGCTCGATGGCTTTCGAGGGCCGATATCGAATTGAGCAGGCCGCGAAGGTATTCATGCCTAACAAAGGATTTTGACATAGGCATTTGTTGAACAATCCGTCTCAACTCGTGGATGTCGTGACTGGAGTGATTGACGTCTGTTCTCTTTGTGCAGGAAGCTGGATTCTGAACCACGGCATCCTGATTTGCCATCCTCGGCCCCTCCTTCTCGAGCAAGTGAGAGCATATCAATGGGAAACCTCGTGGCGCAGATGGTGATGAAGAGTGATTGATTTGGATCTTCCCTCTTGTAGGCAGGGGCGAGCGATGTTTATCCAAGACATCCTGAACTTGCTGTATATGCTCTTCAAATTCGTGGTTTCGAAACATGGCACTCCACTCCCTTGCAATCAATGCCGAAGCTGTGGCCAAGTCTAAGACATCCGTTGTAAACCCTTCGAAGTTCGGCTGAGGGCACGGCCACTGATGGCACGCGAATCCTGTGAGAGCATCGAGCTGTTCCAGAGCTCTAGCTTCATGCTCCTTTCTTGCAGCATCGACGGCCTTCCTCTCTTTCTGAGTGTGTGATAGTATCTGTGGCGCTGAGAAGGATCGGGTACATGGGATCAACAGTTGTCGGAAATAATCAGTCTTTGGACGAAACCCAGGGCGGAATTGCGTGTACGAAGGCCAAGACGGTAAATCGATGTTCTTGAGATCATCCAGGATTGCGAAGGCGACAAGGGTCTGGACTGCCCTCATGTTGATTTCTTCTCTGAAACATATCAGGGCCGTCAGAAACATGAGTTTGTACTTTGCTTCCGGGCGGCCTTCCATGCGATAAAAGTTGACCAACTGGCCCCAAGAGGAGGCAAGATCAACATCGAGGCACTCCGTCAGCCGCACTGGTTCAAATCTGACAGAATCGTCGCCATAACCACCGATAGAAGGCCAGTTCTGAAACATCAACGACAACAATGTTGGAGAGGGCACTTTGGCTGGCCACGTATGAATCAAGCGAGCAGCCTGGAAAACGTGCTCTTGGCTTTGTTGGTAGTTTTGATAACCACGTGGATTATAGGACAGGTCCGGAGCATCTCCAGGACTGGTCGACGCTGCACGGGGCCGCCGATAAAGCCCTTGACGAGCCTGACTTCTCTTAGAAAGATGCGGAATGGATTCTTCTGTGTCCACGTTGTCCGTTGCTCCCGACAAATCCTGGGTCTCAGTGGCGATATCGTGGTCCAAGTCAAACTGAGAAAGTAGTACGGACTTTTGGTTGATCTCAGCAACGAGCGAGCGATATTGGTCATGCTGTATGCAATATGTGAGATTTTCATTCCATAACACCTTTTCTAGCCTCCGGAGGTCTGGCGGGTAGTATTGCCGCACTGGAGCCAGTTTCGCAATGGCATCGAGGAGCTGTCTATTGGCATTATTGAGCGGTCCATACGGCTGAGAGCTCCCGGACTGCAGAATATGGCACGCCTCCTCAGTCCCCGTCCTACCTGTCAGCGGGTCTGGAAGACAGAAGGAGGTATATGCGTGCAGCAACGCTTTGGTGTAAAACAGTCTAGGTTCTGATGCACAGGTCACCCTTCCCAAGACGTCGTCCAAGAAGTAACGAGCGTAAACAGGATCGCTGTTTCGAATCTCGACGTTCACATGGATTCCCCTACGCTGCACTGTCGGAGATCCTAATGGCACGATGACACTTCGGCGTCTCCGGTTATCGACGTCGCGGAGGACGATCTTCGAGGTAAGGCCATACCAGGTTCCTGCATCCTGGTTCACGTCGATCTCCGCCCGAAACTGTTGGCATTCCAAGAAGCCGTCGATGTTGACAAAGAAAGTGAGCTCGAAGCGACGAAGCTCGACCTGAATCGCACCCCGAAGAGGCTGGAATACCGTGATGTGTCGTGGATCCTCGAACCCCTTGAACATACTCGCAAAGTGATGAGCGAGGTTACTGCCTGGGTCAAGCAGTATCGAGTCTCTGCGCTTGGCCATGAAGCTACGGAGATCGATTTTCCAGTTCGACTGTATAGATCTCCATATCCGCGGCTCCTTCCTGACCTCGATGACATTCTCGCCCAAGTTGAGCCAATGCACACAATTTTCAATCAATGATGCGGGAATATCAGAGGACGCTTCATTCGTGAAAATGTAGTCAGGTATGAATTCGAGTACTGCATCTTTCGTCCAAGCACGGACAACGAGAACATCCTGCCGAAATCCAAGGTGAACTTCGTGGCCTTCGATATCAAAACCAACCTTGTAGGTCATTCCATGGGCAGCGGAGGGCCAGACAATGAGTTTTTGGTGTGGGAAAAGCCGGCATAGTCCTGCCGAGCGGCGAATCTCGTGCGGAAGCTCCTTTTCCACAGTCCTACCGTTTAACAGTACCGTTCCTGCAATGAGGTGAAACTGGATGACTTGCGGTTCCGTGCGTCGACTGCCTGGAAGCTTCAAGCTTGCCCACTTCCCGTCTGAACTCTCCACAAAACTGAATGACGTCGATCGGATAGATATAGCTTCACGGCTCATCACATTTGCTTGGACTGCGGCGATGATCAAAGAGCTGGGATACTTCTCCAGCGAACGTTCCAGACAATCCTGAAGACGGAAAATCATTTTGATGTCGCGAATCAACGTGGTGCGAAGCGTGGGTTGGAGTTTCTCTGGTTCAACTGGTTGATTTTCGTGTAGAGCGATGGAAGCTTCCAGGAGTGAGGTCAGTGCTGGTAAAGGAATGAGGACTGTGCTGTTGTCTTGCACCCCTACGACATCAATCGTCGACGGTTGAAGGCTCATCGGCTGTTCTTGGGTGAATATGGAGAATGTTCGTCTGCACAACAAAGCAGCCCACAGAATCAAATATGAGATTCGCGCGGAGGCATTGTCGTTCGTTGTGTCACAGAACTCCTTACGGAGCATCCTGATCCACTGAATGGTGATTCCTCTGGCCACTTCAAGCAACTGCGAAGTTTGTTCGCACGAGCCGTTGTCTCCGACAGCATTCACTTTCAGAATCAAGCTGATCAAGATTTCCATACAGTAATGCTCACTTGGGTTTGAGCTTATCATCTGCAGACGTCGTGCAGTCTGGCTCAACAGGGCTCTGCAAAAGCTAGGATCGCGAAAGACAGCATTTGCCACATGGTCGGTGTCTTCGCTCATAGGACCGGTTCGACAAATTAATGATTTAGTCAAAATCATGACGGCCTCGGAGCTGAAGTTGAGATTCGAGGAGCCTAGCTCAACAAGAATCGCCTGCCACAAACGACCATTGCCGCATATGAGTCCTTGGAAGGCTAGGAATTCTGGAAAACCGAGGGCCTGAGGGCACCGAGGCAGCCCGGCGAGGATTTCGTTAGATGTAATATCGGCATCAGCACTCAAGTATTTCGCAATAGCTCCCCGACGAGTAACGCATACACTTTTAGCGGATCCATTGTCACTATTCTCAGGTAAAATCCTGGGAGGGAAAGCGATTCTGGCAAAAGGGCTGTGCCGAGGGAGAGGGATCATACAGTGGTGGCTGAATGTAACTCGATGTGTATGTTCGGCAAGCCACACTTTACGTGTGCAATCGTAGTACTCGAATCTTAGTCCATTGTTGACAGTAACTCTTTCCCAGGCAATGGGGAAGTTGGCGAATCGGTAGTGCGTCTGCAAGAACGATTTCGTTCGGGAGGCCAGAGTAAGTCCTTTCTTGCTAGCGTTCGGCCGCCGTGCTCTGCGAAATTCGGCGTAGTAGCCTTCAACCATGGTGAGAGGTTCACTCTTTGTTTTTTCAATGTTTGGAAGCGCAAGCCTGGCGATGATAGCCCACGTGGCTTCGCGGTATGCTGCGTAAGCGGCCGGGCAGAGCAGTTCCAGCAGTACAGCTCTTCCTTCACCACGGTTTGGAGGCATTGGCTTTTCAATTCTTTCTATACGAAGCTTGGCAGCAGCTTTCGTCAAGATGCATTTCTTGCATTTGTGTTCATCATGCTCTGGAATCAGGAGGGGGCCAACAAAGGTGAATTGGCAAACCGCGGCGGAGATCTCTCTCATCAATTGTCGATGATTCGTATCTTTTTCTGTCCATTCCATCTCTTTCTCCTGCTTTCGTGTCTGCTCTGTCTGCTCAATACCTTGATGCAGTAGGTGAATCTCGGAATGTGAGGGCAGACTTTCGTAGAACCGATCAGCAAAACAGCCTGAAATAGGAGGGTCCAAGACGGTCCGCGAGGAGACAGTATCCGTGTCACCCGAGTGACGCTGAGCAAGGTAGGTCTGGACCTGCTTGAGGCGACGCAGTTCAGAGTACGAGGAAAGCCGTAGACAGTCAAGAATTTGTGGGGCGAAGACTGGGTTGGACCTGGAGAACTCGGGCATAAAGCGACATAGCAGATTGTCCATCGCAACCCATAGCCACATTGTCGTTAGAATCATACAACTGCGATCTTCTGTTCCCACCTCGAATGAGTCGATCGATTTGCCAAGGTAAGTTTCGATTTGTTTTGCAAGCTGTATGCTTGAATCTACCCACGTCTTATGGTTGGCGGCAACGACTGGAGTGTTTCGGGTCAAGATTCCTTCCTCCAGCTCCGTGAGCTCCGAGTACTTCTTAAGAAAGTCCAGCAGTGTGGGCGGCATGGCATATGATCCTCCGTGTGCGATCCTGAGAGGTGGGTGTTGATTCAGGTGGTCAAAATAAAGAGCGCTATTCGTCAAGCTGAGCTTCATGTGCTCCGGTCTGGCCTGTCGTGTCTTCAGTTGAGTGATCCAACGCCGAATTTTCGACTTGTGACCGTCCCAGACACTTTGGAGTTGATATGTCGCATGCTTTGTCGTGGCAAAGAAAAAAGGACGAAGATTATCCAAAAGGACACTGTAAGCGTCTGATATCCTGGACTCTGAAGCTGGAACAAGAGCTCTATCCTTTTCCAGTTTTGCTACTCGTCGACCAAGCTTTCTCAGGAGGAGATGGCTGAGTTCAGGAGCCTGAGAGCCGACTACCTGACCCAACAATTGGGCGTGGAGGACACACATCAGGGCTTTGTACAGGGCGTTTGAGATCGAATGACATGTCGCTTGCTCTAGGAGGCGCAAGATGCCCACCCGCAGAAGCAGCCAAAACGGCGATCTTCTCCATGGGATGCCCGAGTCTTTCCGGCAAACTTCGTCTCTGACACGTTTGCGGATGGGAGAGGTAGCGGTCAGCTGGCCCATCCCCTCCAGCAACGTGATCAATAGACCAGTGACTAGAGCAGGGTCGTTTGTATCCCGTGTCTCAAGGGCCGGTGAGTTGGCTTTGTAAACGACCGCTCCAAATCTATCGACTCTTTCTAGACTCGCTTTCTGCAGAAATTCGGCAAGGTTTTGCTGGAAGCTTTCGTCGGCGAAGACATCGGCCGGTATAGCCGCGGCAGAGGTGGGAAAATCCCATTGCAGTGCGCTCAGGGACTCGAGAACTTTTTGGGACTTTGCAGAGACTTCAAAGGCTTCAAAAACGACATGGCCCTTGAAGGAACTGAAGACTTTGTCAGGACTGCAATTGAAGCAACGTTCTTGAGGTTAAGCTTGCTTACCTGTTACCATGTCTAACCAAGAGTCCTGCGTTCTGCTCGCTAATGTGAATGACGAGAACTTCTCCGATTTGCAGTCTCCGGAATGCACGTTGGAGTTGAAGGCTGTCAAGATGTACCGAGGCGTGGATGTTTTGACAATGATCCAGTGAACTCTGTAGGAGGCCCAACTGTTGCTGGAATTCGCCTTTGGTGACTGTATCCAACTCAAGGCAGGCATCCCGGACGCGCAGCAGAAGATCCCGATTAATCTCTTCAAGGTTGTTGTCGACTTTTTCAGGTAGATTGGGCGGAAGAACCACGTGGTTGACGACTGCACGGAGCAGTTTGGCATTCGTGGTGTCCATAGGCGATTAGATTCTCGTAGGTGATCGCAACAGCTTGGTCAGGGAGAGCCGATGGCGGTGTTGAGGAGGTCAACTGCGTGCGGTTGATCGATATTGTATGCCATGAACTAGCCCAGAGGCTCGTTAGGGCTGGGTTTGGACATTTCTTTCTATCGACCTTGGTGGTAGGCTTATGAAGGTTATCAGATAGACTGGCAACTGAGAAGAAGGATTTGTGTGGCAATTCTAAAACACAGTGAAAGTCAAGGGTGCGGCAGAAAGAAGACTTTGTGACCTGAAAGACCTGCCTCTGTAATTTCACGTCAAACATTGCGATAACATCAATTGCTGTGAAGTCAAAGCGTTGTTTGTGATTTCCACTCCACTTGCGGCAGCATCTCAAACATTTACATGCTCCTGCGGCATCAAAGGTGAGCTCCTCAGCCTATCTCAACCTGAACATTTTGCCCTGCCCGGTCTGGACGACTGCCAGTTCGCGGTGCTGCCTCCTTCGGCCATCCCATCGACCACATCTCGGATGTGACATCTCCACCTACCTTCCAGCTCATATACTGTACCTATTCATACCATTAAACGGTGGATGTTACAATGGCTGCACGTTTCTTGAAGAGAACCTTGGGTCTGGGATAGGCCTCGAGATCGCATCTCGAGCGAGTACTAGTGTGACCAACCGGGCTGCGGTCAGGTTTACCGTATGGTCTAGCTGTTGAATTCCCGCGTTACGTTCAGATGAAGCCCAAGAGCAAGCTCGCAGTCTCTCGAAGAGAGGATGGCGGTTGTGCAAACATGGAATCTTGGAAACAAGCTTCTAGCTTCGGACAATCCTTGGTGACGTTGACTAGCCGGAACTGGTTAGTGGATTATGGGCCGGACAAGATGAGGGGAAACTGCGAAACTGCGAAACTGCGGCCCTCGGGAGAAGTTGGGAATCAACCACCGGCCGATGGACCGTTGAAATCGGGAATGCCCCCGAGCACAATTGCGACTTCAACCCGTCCATATCTGTCATCGCTGAGAGAGTCCCTCCTACAGCTCTCCTTCCCACACGTCTCACTCATCTACGACCAGAAAACCCGACCGCAACCATGCCTATCTATCACATCGGTAAGTAAGATCGCCCCATTGCCTTTCCCGTCTGTATAGTCGGCTCTAGACAAATTCATGTTGACCCAAACCTAGTCCTGTTCAAACTCAAACCCGGGGTAACACCTGTCCAACTCTCAAACTTGGGTGTTAAAGCGAGAGCCATGGTCGGCCAGGTCCCAGGCCTGCGGAAGCTCGAAGTGAATACACCGTTGGCATCGACTGCGCACAGAAGTCAGGGATTCAACTGTGGGCTAGTCGCGATCCTGGACAAGGCCGAGGATGTAAAGGTCTACGCTGAGCACCCTGCTCACCTGGAGTACGTTGGCATCACTGAGCCTCCCCATTTTCCGTCGAGGCTTTCGCGAACAAAGTCTCCTAGGGAGTTCGTCTTGGAGAATTCCAAGTTGATCCAATACTAAAGCACTATTGTTGCGCTCATGCTGACCGGAATATAGAGTCCACAAGTTGAGGGAGGAGCTCTGCGACGATACATTGGCATATGACCTCGAGTTTGCAGAATGAGTGCTCGAGTCTTATAGCGTTGGATTTTGAACATAAATCCTGCTATGGTGAAGTCATTTTTCTGTGGTTTGGCTCATATATCGTTGGCAACAGAAAAATTCCAGATGTCAATTCTAGTACTACTACTTACTACTAGTACTTATCTCGACATACAAGTCAGACAAGATGGTTCAGCTAGAAGATACTTAGTGTTCAGGAACACAATCTCGATAGAACCGAAACTCGCCTTGCTTGCTCTCTTCAGCCCTATAACATCTTGGTCCACTTACTACCCAGTACGCAATAGATGGCCTTGAAAGTCTTCCTGACATAAATGCGAGGCTTTAGGGGCTACCATAGCCAAGTACAACTTGAAGTATCCAGCAGGTCCCTGAGGAAACAAAATGCAAGCCCAGGACAGGACACGATGGCCATTTGAAGAGCACTCGGCAGTGGCGGACAGTGAATACTTTACTACCATAGCAGGACTACTAGTACTTACCACAACACAGAGAAGAATGATATTCCGCATGATTCCAGTAGCGGAAGTTGTGGGGTTGTCTCCTACCAACAAAGATCAGAAGGACTCTGCTTCGCCTTTCTGACGGCTAGAATAGTTGTACTACTAAGTAGTACTTTTCAGGGGTTATGGCTTCTTAACAGAGTTTGATACTACAACTTATACACACAACAAAGATACTAATACAGTGTCGATGCTGCATCACGTGCGTCCGATATATCTGCGCAGTATCAGAACCATATCGAAGCAGCATCAAAACCGTATCTGTACGCCATCAAACAACTAGGGGTGAGGAGCAAGTACTTAGAATGCTTACGCGTACAATAATATCATCTCTCCAGAAGGACAAGACGCGTTCCCAGCGCGCTAAGTTCGAACGCAATCCATCCGCCAAAGGCATCGTTGTAAGCAGTTGTTGACGAGGCTTAGCATACTACTACTAGAACTACAGGGTGTCGGGAAACAGGATGAGAGGCCCAGCACTGAGCCGATATCAGTTGTAACACAACGGTAAAACTAAGTACTATCAAGTGGTACTACGGTGGAAGGAGCGCTCAATGGCATTCTCCCACACCATTGGACCTGGGATGGTCCTGAGCTACTACAAGATCCAGGATCAGAAAAGCGATTCTACTGGTTGTTACTATTCCGCCTCTAATCATAGATTTTCTAAAACTCCCCCCAGAACACCGTCACTGCTAGTGAGTGCATCTCACCTCGGCCTCAGCTCCAGTGTCGATGAGATCTTGCAGTTGCCTCTTGAAGAACAAGCAGAAATTGATTTTGACCTGATCTTTCCTGACGGATGGAGGAAGACACAAGCATAAGCGTACTCACTCAGTAGTACTTGACAGAGAACTCTCAACCAGTATGGCTTATAGCACTAAGTAGGTGCAATTACCAAGACGAAAAGCTTGAGCAACTGTGCTATTGCCAGATGAGAGTCCGCATGTGCAGACTGCTTCCGTTAGACCAACAGTGTGCAGCAGTACCAAGGACGAATGAACGAATGCTGAACTTTGAAGCGCGTCACCGAAATCGCTCAGAATGGTCTAGCTGGCTTCTGGGGCGCACGTGTTCGTGGTGATGTATCCGCGAACAGATGAGTAAGACAACTAACTGTCACTCGCTGATACCGTGAGCGAGCCATCCTGCTAACAGTACTCGTAGTCATCGAATTGCCCGGTCGCTGGTAATAAGTGCTGCTGATGGTCATCTGAATCCCCTGGCTACTAAATACTTAGTAGTACTCTTTGGGCAGTCGCCATCCAGATTGAATCCTAGGGCCTGAGGCAGGGGCAAGCTCGAATCGATAGCAATAAGTTACAAGCACTACCGACGAGACGGAGAGAGCACTAGTCATTTCCAACTTCAACTTGTTGTCATTGGCATAGAGATCTGGTTCACGAGTGTTTGGGCGCGAATTCGCGATGGTCATTTGAAGAGGTCATTAGAAGAGCATTTGACCCGATCGCAACATCCTACCGGAAAACTGACAGGGGAGTTCTGTCATTTGAATTTTCGGAATCCCATTCTTCTTTCCTGTGGCAGTTTGCAACGTGGCAGCTAGACAAAAGAAAAACTTTGGGATCTTCTTCCTGTTGAGTAGTACTACTAATACTACTACAATGTAGCGAGGTTCAAGTTGAGTTGACTTTGTGCACAGAGCATCTTCGCTTGCCCCCAGAATATGTGGGTTTGTTACGGGAGCATGCTTTTCCAGATCTTTCGCATTCTCGGTAAAGTGTTATCGCAAGTTATCGAAGCGTGTGCCAAGGACGGGCTCTATCTAAGCGCCCTTCAAAACACGGGGCAGCCTCGCCTGGGGGGGTCTCCGAGTCTCTGTATGCGCCACGTCCAAGTTTATTTCCTCGTCCGAGAGCCAATGCCACCAGGGCGACCAACAAAAGACACGGCGATGTGTTTGTTCACTCCAAGGCCCTTCTCCCAATTCCCACGGACGTCCGAATGCAGGGTCAAGTGCAGATCGATCCTCAACCAATCATGGGCAGCAGACCAGCATCTTCGAAACGTGAAACGCGAAGAAGGGGGTCCCCCTATTGCGCCGTGTCAAACACAGGGGTTTATCCGTTCAACATCCAATAAATGCCATTTGCAAAAACGGCATCACGACGACTGCGAGACTGAGCGCAAAGGAATAGCCATGCTTTTTTTTGCGTAGTGCTTCGTCTATCACTTCTCAATCTAGGCGCAGTGCTAGTCCTGTTGTCAATCAGTGTGGCTTTCCATGTCCAGGGCAAATATGTATATATTGCCATCACATTCCCATACCGAGTCCGCCCCTTCTCAACTCTGGGCAAAATCGTTCGTTGACACTCACAATCCTTACTGTCTCTCTCTCTTTCTCTGTGTACGCAGGTCGTGCCTCTTTCCATTCTGCGGTTACTACTGGTAGTATATACACCGTCTCTCGCTTCCCACACACTCCTTTTAGCGATTCAAAAGCCCGGCTAGCCTGAAGCGCATACCCTCTTACTCCTCCGGTCTCAACGAATCCACACCCAGATATCTATACATCCAACCATGCGCTTCGCACTTGTGTACCTTTTCGCCGCCGCATTCCCGGCCATTCCCGTTCTCGCCCAAAGAGGACGTGGCGGTGGTGGCGGTGGAGGTGGTGATAACGGTGGTTTCTTCAACCATGGCGGCGATGGCAACGCCCCCAGCACCTTCGTCACTAGAACCTCTGCGGCCCCTCCAGCTGGTGGCACAGCTGCCCCTCCTCCGCCTGCTGCTGCTACCACCGCGGCAGGTAATGGGGGAGCTTCTGGAGGGGGTAACTCTGGCTCAGTCGATACCTCGCTCATTCCCCCCTTCGGCATTACTCCAGGTGTCAAGGCAACCGACGGGACTGCGAACTGCGTCGGTGACAATGGAGTGAACATTCCGTAAGTTGACATCTGCTTCAACAACGACGATTTCTGACATCGAACAGATGCAACTGCCCACCCGACTTGAACACTTTCGCCAGTGCCGTCGAAGACTCTGTCGCAGCCGGGATGGCCTTCCCATCTGGTAAATCCCTCACATCCTCACTGCGGTCCAACCCACTAATCCTGGCACAGGCAATTCTGCACAAGACCAGCTCACCCGTCTTCAGACGTGCATCATCACCCTACAGAACTTTAGGGGAGGCGCCGGGAGTGGTGTTGGATGTCCCCTTGTCGCCACGACTTGGAAGGAGTTGCAGACGCAGTTGCAGTCGGAAGCCTAGAAAATAAAGGGGGGACAGGAGGGCTAGGAGAGGTACAAACAGAGAGAGAGAGAGAGAGACAGAGAGCGTCTAGTAGAGCTAGCCATCAGCAACAAGGGCACTTACCACCATTCTAACGAATATACATGGGTTTTTGAAACGTTTTCCGGTGCGCCGCTTTGGATAGTTGCGCTGAGAACCGACCTATCATTCCTCGCAAGTCGGCTCCTGACCCGGTTCCAACAACCAGATTTATCACGACGACGCGGGTGATAGGGGCGCAAGCGTTAGCGATATCGTTATCGCCAGCCGAAAGAACATGGGGAAGGCTGGTAAATGCGAAACACGATTGTTTCAAAGTCTCGGGAGGGAGCGACGCAAGCGACGCTAGCTACTAAGGTGAACCCTGCTAGTGCCTTGGCATTTATAGTCTCGTGACTCTGGATCTCTTTTGACTTCTCGTTTATCTGGATGGCTCGTGACCTTCAAAATATTATGGTAGTCGTCGTAAAAGGGCCTTGCGAACCTTGACATCCACGAGATTGACTGAGCAGGCCTTCTGTCCTTGAATTGTCAGCGAGCAAGCAACTCCGTGCTCACTTGACAGGGACATTGTAAGCCTCTTGGGATGTGGTTTGCGAACATCTTTCGCGACAGGCTGCTCTCTCCCCCATATGACGCTGGTGAGAATTGCTTTCGCGTTACACAGCTGACATTTTCAGGAAACGTGTTCTTCTGGGTTGGAACACCAAGCCTTGAACGTCTTTGACCAAGCAGCCCGATACGACCTGACGTAAAAGGACGGCTCAATGCCTGGAAGTCTTTTCCCGCAACCAGATGCACTGGCTGTAATTCCGGCGACGGACCCCTATCAAGGGGGATTGTGGGACCGGATCGATGGATGCACCCGTGTTACTTGGACATGAGAGTCGGTGCCCCTGCCGACTTTCTACCGGCACATGACAGAGACGGAAGAGACGCTTTGTGTATCCAACGAGTACTACGGATATCGCAGTCTGATCAGCCCGTTATACTTTCTCTCCTCAGCCGCCCCTTGGCAGCTGGGGTCGGGAAACCGGATGAGTGATGCGATCTAATAGCTGGCACGGCTGGGTACTTCTCAACCTCGCCGCCAATCAATGCTGTGACGTTTACATTTAGTTGCAAGTGATTCCGTGCTTTCCTTTATCTCCTATAATGAGTGCACTGGGCTCGTGGCGAGCATGTACCTGGGTGCACTATCCGCCGCGAGGTTCTCGAGAGCCCTTCTCTCAAGCACTCGCAAGACAACTTTTTGAGATCGGTGAGGATGGCTCAGAAGATCCTGCAGGCTGGACTCACATCGGGCATGCCTGCGGTGTCAGAGTCCCAGTCATCGAAACCTGAACCACTGCCCGCCTCCTACGACGGGCTGAAACATGTTCTGCCGGATGACTTCACGCCTCGGCTGGATTCTCGGTGCACACTGCGCGGCAAGGATGGGAGAGATGTCCAAATCCCCTTGATCGTCTGGGGCGCGTGGTCGTGGGGAGACACGTCCACTTTCCACTGGTCGGACGACGAACTGCCATCTCTTCGGCAAGCGTGGCAAGCGTGTCTCGAGAAAGGCATGACTTTCGTCGACACGGCTCAAGTGTACGGCAGCGGCAGGAGTGAACGGATTCTGGGAGATTTGGTCAACAACCACAGCTGTGGGGTCGACCGCTCACAGATCATCGTGCAGACAAAGTGGCTACCCGACATCGTAGACGCGGGCATGAACATCATTCACCCGGTCGACGCACCGGTGAAGCAGCTGAAGAAGACGTTGGAGAGGATGAACCTCGACTACATCGACTGCTATCTGGTGTACGGACCGGCCCACGTCAGCTCCATCAAGCAAGCGGCCAAAGGAATGGCCAAGTGCGTGGAGGAGGGGATGACCAAGACGGTGGGCGTGGCGAATTACTCGGTGGAGGACATGCTAGCCATGCAAGACGCGCTGGCCGAGTACGGCATACCGCTCGCGACCAACCAGTGCGAGTATTCGGTTCTGCGACGCATGCCCGAGATCGAAGGCATGCTGGAGGCGTGCAAGCAACACGGCATTGTGTTCCAATCCTACTCGGCCCTCGCCAAGGGTCGTCTCTCGGGCAAACACACACAGGGAAACCCACCAGCAAAGGAGTACCGGTTCAGCAGCTACAAGATGGAGCATTTGGAGCCGGCTCTGCGAGTTGTGCGACGGCTCGCTGCCAAGTACAACGTCAGCGTCACGGCCGTGGGTATGAACTGGAACATCTGCAAGGGCGCGATCCCGGTAGTGGGGATCAGGAGGGAATCCCAGGCCACCGATGACATGCAGGCGCTGGGATGGAGACTGAGCAGGGAGGAGATGGCTGAGCTCGACTCGAAGGGTTTCAAGGGGAAGACGACCAAGTCATGGCAGCAGGGATAGTCAAAAAACGAAAGAAAAAAAAAGTGATAAGCACAATTTCTCACAGGGAATCTGGATCGCATGACTGAATGACTTTCAATGCTCAAAAGAATCATCGCTTGAACTCGTAGGTTTCTTCTCTGTCATAAGTACCCACCTCCTCTCTCCGTGTGTCTCTCCGTCACTCTGTCTCTCTGCGTGCATGTCACATGACAGCCTCGAGAATCTCCTGGACCTGCTCGGCCTTGACCAGCGGGACCGGATTGGTCGGGGACCAAAAGTCGGCCAACGCGCGGTTCGCCAGACCGGGAAGCACGTCCCTCTGGATCCCCAGCTCCGAGAGCGTCCTGGGAAGGCCCAACGCGCGAATAATGACGTCGAGGACATCGCCAAGATCAGCACTGTCCTGACCAAGACCCTTTTGCGCGAGAAGGTCCGCGACCACCGGCTCGGACCAGAGGATGTTTCTGACCTTGGCTTGGCGGTCGATGATCGCCGTGTTCCCGCCCGCGTGTTTGATGTTGTACTTCATGACGGCGGGACAGAGGATGCAGCTGGTGACGCCGTGCGCGACGCCCAGCGGGCCCAGCTGGTGTCCGATGGCGTGGCTGCCGCCCATGGGCACCCCGGCGCGGATGTTGTCCATCGCGAGGATCACGGCCATCTGGCACTTGTGCCGGGCCTCGCGGTCCTCGGGGTCCTGTTTGCATCTGAGCAGGCTCGGGACCAGCAGCCTCAAGCCCTCCTCAGCCTTTCGATCGGACGTCTCTGTGCCTTGGAGCGAGCACAGCGCCTCGACGCAGTGATCGAGGCTCCTGACGCCCGTGCTGAGCCAGTGGTACGGTGGAGTCGTCATGCACAGCTCCGGGTCGGGAATGACCAAATTCACGCCCATGCCTGAATGCAGGAACGCCACCTTGTGCTTCGTAGAGTCGTCCGTGCCGCCGCCCAGGCTGAAGTACTTTGGGGGTCATCAGCACGTGGCTCGACAGAGGCAATTCAAGAAGTGTAAAAGGGGGGTATTGAATACCTCGCCACCTGAGAGACTTGTCGGAATCGTGATCAGTGGCACCTTCGGCTCATGCACCGTCGCAGGGACGTCGGTGCTCTCTGAAGAATATCTGGCGAGCTCCTTTGCCGTTTGGATATTATTCGCCAGTGCCTGGACACGGATATTAGATTAGCACTCTGAGTCAAAACACTCCCCAAGGGGCGATCCGAGGAGAGAGACACACAAGTGTCACCATTTTCGCACCATCGGTGATACTCCCAGCGCCCAACGTCACAAGACAGTCGGCGTTGGACTCTCTCGCTTCGGCCGTGATTTGCAGAATCTCCGACCACGGCGTATGCGGTGTCATACCCTTTTTGATACCGACGATCTTGTCCCTGCCGATCGCCTCGACCAGCCTGTCCAGCCTGTCGGTCTCGCGCGAGAGGGTCCCAGACGCTACAATGTACACTCGCGAGGCGTTAAAGGTCTCGCGCACGTGTTTGGCGCATGCTTCCTGGTACGGCAGGCCATAGCTCACGTATGGCGAGGACAGTTTGAGGTTCGAGACCGGGATGCCTGCGAGGTTCGTGCCAGGAGGATCTGTAAATGCAGGTCTGTAGACCTCGGTTGGCGACATTGTTGGTGCGGTTCGTTTCAAATGAAAAGATAGAAGCAGAAACGGTGCTACGCGCAAGAGGGGGTATTTCGTTTGATTATGTTCGAAGCGAAAAAGCCACGGAGTTTTGCAAATCTTCTAGAATGTCCTCGCAATAGAACGTGTTACAACAGCCGGGACGATGAAAACATCTCCCGAAGCGGAGTGAGGGGACCTGCGGTTTCCCCAGACTCGCTCGCTTCTCCCCAGATATGCGGTTCGCCTTTGGTAGAGGTGAACACCCCGCATTACCGATGGCGCTGTCTTGGTGCATTTCTAGTCTGCATATGCGGGAAGATGCGTTGAGAAGTCTTCCAGCGCGAGCCAGGGATGATTTGTGTAACGTCGTAGATCTGCCGTCGTGCAGCCCACGAATATTCTCCCTTGGCCAGATGTTCTAGAATTGATTCAGTACATTCAGTCCATCCATGATATATTCGATATGATCTCAAAAGCTGCGAGGTTGGGCCTTTTACTGATAGAAGAGTACCCTTGTCAAGAGCATGCACAGTTCAGAGCGAGAGCTGCGAGGCTGTCATGAAAAGGGTCACTCAAGGGCACCCAAAGGGGAGAGAGATGAGGGCTTAGTAAGCGCCGCGAACCCGTCTGAACGCGTGTGGTTGGACGCGTCGCGTAACCAATTTACAGACAACGACCCGCAGAGTGACCGTTTTCTGCCGTCATAGCAAAAATTCACGACAACGACGACAGGTCCTCCGACAATGCCGGACCCCCTTCGAGCATGCTTGCTCCTCGTGGCACCGCCCTGCCCAAGTTAGAGAGATGCCTCGCAGAACTCCTCCGCACTTGCGTGCACCCGCCCTCGCTGATCCTCCGAGTCGAACACGTATTTGGGCAAGCGCATGCGGGTAGCCGTAGAAACGCAGTCGACGACCGTGACGACGAACGAGACGAAACCCCCGTCACCGGCGATGACCACGGCAACGACTCTGCTGCCCGAGAACCCGACACATGGTCCTTTCGCTTCGCAGCCTCGGATAGCCATCTCCAGATTCAGGCCGTCTTAGCACCCACCCTCCTCAGAGTGAAGGAGCTGCGGGACCTACGACGGGGGGACGTCATTGAAGTGCGCAGGTTCCAAGTGAGGAGCGCACCTCGACTGAGTGGGAAAGGTCGAGTGATATATCTGGGGATCCGAGACTGCGCATGGGTCGGCCGGGACAGAGAGACTGTTGGAACATCTGAGGGAGACGACCGACTTGAACTTGAAGGTGGATTCCTCAGGGAAGAGGACGACGAAATGTTCCACAAAAAGCCACATCCCCGAAAGGAAGACCTGACCGCTGGTTCAGAGCGAAGCGCATCTAAGAGAGACATTCGCGACCGCGATGACCGAGCACCTAGCTCTCGCAGCGCGCAGAGGAAACTAAAGCCGTCCAAGACGACACAGAAGGTATCTCGGAACATGTCAGAGGATGATTCGGATGATGAGCACGGGTTCGATACTATCTTCGTGTCTCAGTCGCGGCTTGAACAGCGCAGGGAAGCACTTCGCCAGATCCAGCAACCGCCGTCCATGGAGGAGGCCACTGTGAGTCGACCACGGCCACATGGGGATGGCAATCAAGAAGAGTCACAAGGTAACTTCACAGCCAACGTCTTCCTCCGTCCACGTCAACTCACTCACTTCTAGATAACGAGGATGACCACGAGAGACAAGCTGTCCGCGAAGCTGATGCATTTAGCACTCACAACCTCCTTAGCGGTCCCCATCACCAGCCCACCACTTTCTCCGCTCCGCCCGTACCACCAGACGATGACCCGAGGACCCGACCTACCAATCTCGCGTCGATATCTCCAATCGACAGCCTCGCTTCACTCCTTGCCCTGCCGCATCAGAAAAGCTACTCGTGCACCGTCCTCGCTCTGATATCCTGGGTATCCCCTTCGCTGATCCACCGGCCCAACACGCCATTTCCGCCCAAGCGACACATCAAAATCCACGATCCGTCCATCACGCACCGCACGTCCGGCGTCACCGTGTCTGTGTTTGTGGACGCGCAAAAGTTTCTGCCCGCCGTGGGCACGGTCGCCCTGTTCCGCGGCCTGGTCATGCACCAGTTGCGAAGGAGTTCCGCGGACGGCGAAGCGGACGTGATTCTGAACAAATACCCTCCGAAGACTGGGAGCCAGAGAGCCGAGCACGAGGGTTCTTTGGAGAGTGCCGCTGGCGGTATTCGCGATCAACACCTCGAAGGCGATGGCGACGAGCAGGAAGAGTGGTTCATTAGTGACGAGGCCAGACTCGTCGCCATGGGCTTTGACGTGCAGCGGATCAAGGCGTGGTGGGAGCAGAGGCTTGTCGCCAGGAAGGGCAAATGAAGGCTTTTTTTCACATTTCTCTTTTCTTTTTTTTTCGTAGACAGACGAGGCTATCGAGAGGAGAGAGTGCGCACACACACAGGACATTTCTTGAGAAGAGAAAAAGGCACGCATGCATGCCCAACCAAGGTCAAAACGAAGCGGCTCCACATTTCATTTCTTCAAGTCTATTCGAAGGACCAAGAGTAGAAAAAAGAAAAGAGCTAAACAGACGGGCCTCAGAGGCAAGCCAACCTTTCCTTGTCTATCGCGGATCTGCTTGATAGTCACACGGTGAATTGAATCCAAGAGAGAGAGGAAAGAAAGGATGAAGAATACATGACAGCGCTTCGGTTCTCGTCACTCGTCGCTCTCCGCCGAACCCCTTCATGTCACTGAGACAGACAGACCTGTAGTATCCCCTTCCCCTCCTGAAATCTTCTGTTTTGTAGGTTATTCCCCAAGCCTGCCCACCCAATCCATACTCCGTCATTTTGTTTTGTCCTCATATGTACGTGCGTGTGTGTGTTGTGTGTTGTGTGCAAGAGAGGGTGAGAGAGGCGGAAACAAGAGATGGATACTTGAACCGGTGACCGACTCGCATCTCCACCCTATCCTTCTAGCGTATCATTGTGCTAGAGTGGATGACCCATGGTGTATCTTCGCAGGGCCTTTCCCAATCAAGCCATGGCAATCCCATACAGCATCCTATATAGCTTGGGTATTTCCTGCCGCATCAGAATACCGGCTCAGCTCGTCTTGGCTGGTCTGGATTTTCCCAGACTGCCTGCTGTCCTCATATTGTGTGATTTGGTGGATCGTCAAAAGTATTGTTTTTCGTGCTTCTCTGGAAGCATTCTGCTCCAAGATATTAGACCTCTTCTCAATCATGGCCCGAATTTTTCTCCTGGACCCAGCTTCAACCATGGACACGCGCGCCAGTCACACCCTTGTTTGTAAACCTCTGTCCCCCACCACTTGAATCCTTCAGTCCAACCTGGATATACGAAGCCAAAGAAGACAATGAGCAGTGAGAAAGCCAGTCCCGAGTCGAGTGCAGCGGACATGGTCATGGTGTATTTGCCCCACCAGCCAGGGGCTCTCCTTCTCATAAGTCCGTTGAACAGAAAGCATACCACGGCCCACACCGAAAAGTTCAAGCCCGTCGCAGGGGGGATCCAGGACAGAGAGCCAAAGAGGACAGGTAGATTGATCCTGCGCCAGACGGATTTCTTCGTGCTCTTCCTTCCCACTAACCACACTAGGATCGGTGCGATGAAGCCGATGAGGAAAGCCCAGACAAGATGTCGGTAGAGAGCCCCAGGACCGAAGAAGCGCTGTGGTCCAACAACACCCCAGAGAATACTCCCGTTGAAGTGGACACGAGCAATGGGACAGTTGAATCCGTTAATGGCCTCCGGCGTGCAGATGCCGGGAATGTTGATAAACATCCAGTTGAGAACCGTAATTTGTACCAAGCTCGAAACCAAGGTGGCCGCCATCTGGACCTTGAAGAGCAGTCTCGGTGGAATCTTCATATAATGGCCCAGCTTCAGGTCCGAAGAGAACTTGATGCCTTGTGCCGAGGAGATGTAGCAATAGGTCACGAAAACCATGTTGGCGACGGGACGGCCAGGGAAGACTACTCCACAGATCAACTGGCAGATCAAATAGAGGCTGCTGTGCTGGTTCGTGATAGCCATGACGATACCGACGGGGATGAAGAGAACGGTGGTGATACCAAGAGCCATGAGAAGACCGTACCAGGGGAGATGGACCGGGTAGTACTCGACAACGAAGATGCCGACGCCCAGCATAGTGACGAATGTTAGAGCGTACCATGTCATTGGCACATCTTGATAACGTTTCATGAGACGGTTGTGGACGTCTTCGCCCCCAGCCTTAATAGACTGACTGTCAACCCTACGCAGAGAGGGGTCGTATCGACCATTCTCCGCAGAGCTTGGGACAGGCTGGTACCCTGCACTGCTCTTTTCCTGTCTTTCTTGGAAGGCTTGTTGGGATTGTCGCCAGACGTCCCTGCCATGCCAGCAGGTTGTATGGGTAAGTAACGCCGTCAGAGCAGCGAATTGAACCCCATAAGAGAGCACATATGTGATGGGAAGGTATACTTTGGAGTAGTTGTCATAGGCTTCTTTGTCGAAGACAAAGTTTGGCGTCAGGATTTTGCTCACGTCGTAGGGCTTGCCCGTATTGTCGAAGACGGCCGAGGAGAGAATCGGCAGATATCCCGAGAACAAGACATTGCGGTAGTAAAGTATCGGGGCGATAATCCACATGACTAGAATGAGACCGCCGACAACATTCGCAGCTGCCCACCAGGGAGTGAGCAAGGGTGATCCAATGTAGGCAATTTGAGCCCAATCGAAGGTCAGGGGAAAGAGTCCCAGTCCCGAAGCCACGCCAAAAAGGTTCGAGACGACTACATTCTTGGGTGCGAACCAGGTAATGACATTGAAGTAACTCAATGCCGGCATCAGCAGTCCTGGAAAGAAATACCATACGAACGCTGCAGCCCAGACGTAAAGGAAGAATCGGTAACGGGAAATGGTCCATCCGTTGGCCGGCTTATTTTCGTCCTTGTGCATTGTACTGAACATGGCCGTTGACATCAGCGTGCCGGGCCAGATCATGGCAGCGGGTCGGACGAGGTACCTTCTGGTCAGTCCGGCGAACGCATAGCCAAGGATTTGAGTTGAAATGGTTAGTAAAAGTTGATACAGAATCGGAACATCCTGCTTGTAGAATTTGTGCTGCTCGACAATGACATCGGTCGCAAAGGCGAATCCGAACGAGACGTTGCTGCTAATGTATACGCAAGCGTGTTCCTTCTCGTTCCAGCGGCCCTGAGCCAACCAGAGCCGCAGGCGTCGCAGTCGCGTTTGAAACATTGGAATATCATCCTTCTGGAGTGAGCCATTGACGAAAAACTGTTCCTGGTCATCTGCTCGCTTGAGGAGGTGATCCCAAAGCTTTCCCATGGGATGGACTAGCACCAGAGCAATAACCGGAGTGATGGCAACACTCGGATACCTCAACGAGAAAAACAGATTGGTGGCTGAGCCGCCTATTGCAAACAGCAAGGACAGCGTCCACATTCGAGGGGTGCTGATTGATAAAGCAGTGTTGTCCGTGGCCGGCACTGAAGCTCGAACCTCTGGATATGGAGAGTTGTCCGGGGGATCTTCTGTAGAGGGTATGTATTCTTGATCGACATCTGATAGACTTGCAGTGCGGGCACTCGAGTTGGAAGACTCTGCCTTGCTCCCGGCCATCGCCGGGTTGGCGAAGGATGCTTTGGCGTCCAGGCCCATCCCGACTTCACTGGCAACGGAGGAGGAGGACCTCCGATGCGTCCATTCTGAGCTGCGTCGTTGTTGGTAGAGTAGTCGCTCATCTGAGGAACGACCCTGACCGTCCCGGAGATCCTGAGCGGACCGAGCTCTCTTCCCACGACGCTTCCTCGAGACACTCTCGCGATGCGAATCCTCCTCATCTTCCGATTCCAGGTCCGAGCCTGACCTGTCGTTTACCAACTGGACCGTGCCATATGACCCCGTGCCGACGGCCGGGGAGGAGCGTATCAGGAGCAAGCCGCGAGACATGATGGCATTCCACGCACGGGAAACCAGCCCTCGGCGCCCCTGGATCGTGTGGGAGGTGGGTGCTGTCACCGGAGAGGCAACAGGTTCGAGCGTCTGACGAAGAGGAGTACCCGATTCAGATTGGGACCCCAACTCAGCTGACCCAGCAGCATCTTGCAGTGCACGGAAAGGAGGAGAGGAGGGCGAGGAGAATGTAGAGAGCTCGAGCGCAGGGTTGGTGGTGGACGAGAGGTGGGGAGGAGGAGGAGGAGGAGGATCTAAAGCCTGACCCAACCCAGAGGGCATAGCATTATATTAGGTCCGAGTCATGGCTAGACTAGTAGGAGTAGTGAGCAGCGTTTAGCAAGGCAGACGAGACGTGGCCACGACACGGTGACTAGAAACAGACCAACGTGGGAGAAACCTCACCGCAGTTAGGACAGGGTGCGCACCAGGCGAGCAGGGTGGTGACACAAGGTTGAAAGTGGGCTACAAGTGGTGCGTCTGGGAACGGCCACAACCGTCTAACTGGCCAGGCTTGCCAGGGAGGGCGAGCTTCGGAGAAGTGATTCGGCAATCAAATCTGATAAGATTACGTATCTGTGCCTGCTTTTTACCTGCAGGTGGTCTTGGGAGCCTGTCAGTTGTCTTGTCAGTGCCTGTACGGAGTACGAAGGAGGGACGGGAACGACGGGAAGAGCCCGAACACCCCCCCTGAAGCGAGGCCTAGTGGCCCCTTTGTAGGTGCCTAAGTGGTCCCAATCGCCTGTCGCACATGACCTCCGGGCACCTCGCGACGTCTAGTTGTGCCCAACAGAGCCCATTAGCGATGGTGTTAGGCTCACTATCAGCAGCACACTAGCCTTTTTGGGGGGTGCCATCGTTGATACCTACTTAGGTATGTACCCTCCACCTAATATAAGTAACTGTTTACCTAGATCGGGAGACTTCTTCGAAGGGCCAGAGTAGGACATACCTACAAGTATGTGTGTTATACACAGTGCTACTGACACACGGTATAGCTGTGACCTTTGTATTTGCTCGTCTCGATCCATGACCCAACAAGTAAGTCTCCTTCGCAATATACTTGGGTGAATACGCAGCACCTCGTACAGACAGCTAAGAGGCTCTATCGAGCAAACCTAGTCGACTCGCGCTTTGCGTTCCCCATGAGAAAATATTCAATGGCCAATACCTTAGCGCCAGTGGCATCATCACTCCACCATACTTGTACTTGTGGTGGTAATGGTTGGGTATCACTCTTTTCACGATCCACGGGTCGGAGGGGCATCGGGATATTTTCCAGTCCTCGTATACCTTTCATCTGAGGGAGGATGGTTGCCCTTGAGTCTCAATATCAAATGTCCTTCTTGTCTGTCCACGAGAAGTAAAACAGAATCTCTCGACTTGTACCCATTTGTATATGTCGATACCATTGGGCCAGCAAAAGCCATTTGAGCCTGACTGAATCTCCAAGTACACATCCCTGTCGCCTACACACTTGTACCTCCTTGTACATACCTCGGTAGTGTCGAACTTAGTTGTGGATAACCCTTGTCTCCTCCCTCCTGATTACCTGGCATAGTGAACGACCCTTGGTCAAGGTTTTCCTCCTTGAAGCATAAAGACACCTGATGTCACATTGTGCTTCTTCACATCAACTTCACCGCTTCGAAAAAATTCTACAAGATGCCGAAAGAAGCATACACAAAGTCGGGTGACTTCGCACCTGACCATCCCAAGATTATCACGAATCCTCCCTTGGGGCTGATTATCATTATCAGATCATCTAGCTGCATGCTAAGTACTCGGTAGTGGAGCTGGTCCCAGGCACCGACATCGGCCTCGCCAACAGTACCTCGTAGATCCTTTCAGTATCCGATTCGCATTCCCTTCTCACCCACGTATATGAATGGCCATGTCGATTGCTGCGCTCTGTGGCCTCCACAATATGCCTTTCATTCCTTCTGTCAGAACCCATCACAATGCATCTGGTTCCATACGAGCGCCATAGACTATGGGGGTGATCTCTTTCAAAACCCTCCAACCTCGGCGCCTGCTCGCGTCAACATGTCATAGACCCGACCCGGTAACTTGTATTTGACAAGCCCGGCAAAGACCATCAGGTCCTTGGCCATGTTGCTGAGCTGGTCTTTCATTTCGTCCGCATCTCCACCATATCCTGCCTCCCACCTGCCATTGCGGATGATATTGTCTCGTTCTCCCCCAATGGCCCGCACCGCCCAGACGACACTCACTCCAGCGCAACGAGCAAGGATTTGGGGGAGGGCGCTAAAGGCTGTCGCAGCCGCTCTGATTGTCGGAATGGATCCATTGGCCCGCAATGGCAACAAGCCCAAGTCATTGAGCTCCTCTAACGCCGTCATATAACGAGGTGGGTTGGCTTCGAGGTTTTCTCGCACCGAAAGCAATCTGATGAGCACCCCGCAAATCTCACGGTTCGCGCTCGAGATTCGGTTGAAGTAGGCGGCATTCTCATTGTATAACGATATCATGTTCTTGCCCAATTCGAAGGGAGACGACGTCGACTGTGTAAGTGACAATGACGACTGAGGTCCTCCGTGGTTGCTGCTGGATGGCTCGCTCTGACCGTTGGACTGCCGCGGTTTCAGAGGTTGCAGCTGCATCGGTGCCTCGCCCAGGTCTAGCGTCACAGCATCGGCCAGAGCTCGGTTGAGGACGCTAATGACATTGTCATAGTCTTCGCAGAGATGATAAAGCAGTACTGCATCCGCGATTTGCCCGCGCTGATCCGCGATGGCAGCTGACTGGCTGGTGATTGATCTCAAAAATTCTTCCCGCGTGTCGAGGTGAATCAACTTGGCCCGTAACTCGATAGCACCCGGTATTCGCGTGCCATCACTACGGATATCGCCCAACAACTTTGCAAACTCACGGGTTTCCAGACAGAGTTCTCGCAAGCACTCATGACAGGCATTGATGTGGACCAGGCCCAGGCTTGCAGGCTGCAGATCAGAGTTGAGGCAAAGCATCGAGAGATAATCCACCGCAGGCACAGGAAGTGCCGTTCGAAAGGTTCCTGTATGATATGCCACGAGTGGGACAAAGTTGATCATGGGTTGCTGCGTGGTAGAGAACGTCACTGCGTAATAAGTCAGCACCATCAGATGGAGTGCATCAGATGAAAAATACTTACAGAGCTCGTTGCCAGCCACCGAAAAGTCTGACACCCTTAACAACCCGTAATATGACAGGGCAATGGCAAAGTGCACTGCGCTCAGAGGATTGAAACTGTGCAGATAGTCCACAGCCTGCTCAAACATCCCTGCAAGAATCTGCATCAAGAAAAAGGTGCCGTAACCACTCGAACCCTCAACTTGATTTTTCTGGAAATGTTTCTGCCCGATCTCGGTGACTGTCTCACAAATCTGTTCAAGTCCAAAGATCTCGCCAGAGATCTCCTCGTACATTTCAGTCTCGCGCGCAAGGCTGAACTGGAGCCACAACCAGTCCTCGACACCCTGTCCCACAGCATCTAAATGTCTTGAACTCAAATCACATCTTCCGATCACCTTGTAGCAGGCAATTCGGTAAGGGTCAACTGTGTTCTTCGGACCGACCTTGGTGCGGTTCTGATATTCGTTGTCGATCATATCTTGCAGTTTGCGGCCCAGTCGCCGATCTGGGTTGTTTGCGTATGCCGTCAAGTAAGAGACGAAGCGTCGCTCAACAGACTGGAAGGCAAGGTCGTTGTTCACATACTCTGCCGCCTCTTTAACAAAACCGCATCTCAGCAAGTAGAAAATTAAGACCCAGCAGTAGTCACCGCTCTCGCCGCCCAATTGTTGAAGTTCGGTTCCATCCGGGGCAAGATCTCGTCGGGCAGCCCGCAACCGGATGTAAGCCCGCACGATGTTGATGACACTTGGCTGTCCTCCCAAAGCCGCTTCTCTCGCATTCTTCTCAATCAAAGATCGAAGCTCTCGCCAGAATGCCTTTTCCAAGAAGGTCCGAGAGCCCTCAACGATCTGCTTCTTCAGTTTGAGAGTGGCCGGAGCCGAGGTTGTCTCGTCCAGATATGCCTGAGCATATTGTCGTTCCCTGACTGTCGACTGGCCTTCTTTGGTAATTTCTCGTAAAGCTTGATAGGCGTCCACTATTTGCCGGGGGCTATCTGCCTTGTTTTGCTCTTCGGTTTCGGCGAAATTTTGCAGAAGAGCGTACGACTCTTCTCGCACCCTAGCTTGATTGAGATCCTCCACTTTACTGATGAATGACTTTTCCTTCGCCCTGAGCTCGCGCTGCACCTGTGAACTCGAACGGGGAGGCCCTGCCGGAACAGGAGCCGCACCTTCACTTTTGAAGAAAGATGCCGACCCAGCACCGGAACCTGGAGTGCCAATGATGGATTTTTCCATTGCCGTGCGACCAAACACGCTTCGTGTAGCTCGAGACGTCTCAGAAGCCCCTTCCTTGCTCCGACCACTGGTTTTACCAAAGCCACCACCGGCTCCCGCGTTGTCCTCGGGAGACGCCAACCCGAGATGTTCCATAATTCTGGCCTTTTGTTCCTCAAAGTCGATACCCAAGCTCTCCTCGATGAAGCTGTCGACTTCACGGTAGACGCGTTCCATACTCTCCTTCAGCATCGCCTCCCGACCTTTGACTCTCAAGTCTCGAAGGTAGGCACTAGATTCATCGGCGAAAGCCTGCGTCGCCATGCGTGACACAGGTGCAGATTCATCCGGTCCCAATGCTTGAAAATCCTTATAAGCTTGACCAGGGGCAACCCCGGAGCCAGCCAACAGATAATGTGCTCGACTGTCTGGCAGAGGCTCCGTTTGTTTCGCCCCGCGTTGCCTGATCTCTTGTGCCCGTCTGGCTAGATCTCCCAAGTCCATACTAAGGCTGGGTAACTGATTCTGACGGCCAGTGCCATCAGCCCACAGTCTCGGCTTTTTCTTTTGGCGTTCGAGAAGGCTGCTAAAATATGCGGCATCTCGATTGTTTTGCGGAGGGGCAGCTGCTGGTTGAGTCGCCTGCGGGACAGTTGTGTTTGTTGCGGCTGCGAAGGCACCACCACCGCCGCCGCCACCGAAAAAAGACGTATTGCTCGCGGGTGCTTGTGTGTTTGAGGCGCCGAAGAAGGAAGTCGATGCTGGTGCTGGTTGCTGGGCAGTAGTTGTTGTCGTTCCAAACAGATTTGTCGATGGAGCAGTGGTTGTTGTTGTTGTCGTGCCTAAGGAGAAAGGAGCAGAAGTCTTTGCAGGGCCCCCGAGACTAAACAGTGCACCAGATGGAGCAGCGCTTGAAGTTGGGGCTGTGGTGTTGACACTTGGGAAAGAGAAGGGTTGGGATGATTGTGAGGTCGAACCGTCAAAGATGGACTTTCGTTTCCCTTGGGCATCAGTGGTAGGAGTCAAGCTGGCACCACCAAACAGATTACCTGGACCTGATGTCCCTGGCGCAGAGGAGGACTGGCCAAACAGCGACATTATGGCTGTCGGTCGGGAGCTACCAAGACACGAATACTGGAAATGCTAGAAGTCGCGTCTAACAAAAATTGGATTTGGACCGCGTTCAATGAGGCTGCGGAGTTACAGGCGCAGTTTGCAGCGCAGTTCGCAGCCTTGGCAATTATTGCCGCTTTAACGCCCCCTTCGACTCTATTGCGGATAAAAGAACAAAAAGCCACTTGCCAGTCATCCAGTCAGCCAGTCTATCCTCAGTTCAATTATCCCCGGACCCAGCACAACGCCCTGTCAGACACATACCCTACTTCCAGCTAGAAGTGAAGCTGTGATTTGCAGCAATGATGGCAACTAAAATACAAGCTTAACGTTCTGGTGATGCCCTGACTTCCCGGCAGGCGCAAGGTAGGAAAGAGGGCACGACTCTGAAAAATTCCAATCAGACTGTGCTTCTGAAAAAGCGTCCTGCGGCGATGGCGAGGGAACAAGGAAGCTCTGTGCCTCCAGCCCGCTGTCATTTCCCCACAAATCATAGTGGAAAGGATCATCCGTGGTCAGGGGCTCAACACCACTGAAAGGCTGGTCCTGCGACGGCATAGCAGGAGTCTCAACAAAAGCCGCTTTGTCTGGATTTTCCAATGGGACCTGGTAGTCCCCCCATTCCAGCTGAGACTGTGTGATTCTGTCCTCGGCACTGGCAGGAGTGGTTGTAGGGGAGCTGACCGGTGAAACCGTCGACTGTGGACCGGTTTCGCCGTGTTCGGGGTCGGCCTCATAAACCTCGAGAGGGGTCAGCCCTAGATGATGCAGGATATCATTGACACTCGAGTCCTCTTTCATGAACTGAGCGCCAAGATCGTCCGTCGCCTCCCCTGTTCTGAGACGGTGATGAAGGATATGGACGGCCTCGATAAGAGTGGCTTGCTGTCGCCCTAGCATTTCGGCATACCTTGACACCGGTCAGTGACAGGGTTGATCGAGTGTGGTTATGTCAACTTACGCCAATACCGTGTACGGCCGGGAATTTCTCCGTACATGGGTATATGTACACGAGGTTCCCCTTCGCGTGCAGCTTTTGCACGGTGTGTCTCCATCGCACTATTGTTGCAATCGCTGATCAGACCTTTTCTTTCCAGGTGAGTGGAAAGATGGACGAACCTTGGCTTTTTTGATCCTGCAAAGATCACAGGCACGATTGGTGCGCGGAATCTTCTTCTTCCTCGTGGCATAGGAGATATCGCCGCCGACACTGAATTCACCATTGCGCCGCCCAGCAGCGGGCGCGGGCGCGAGTGAGATGGAGTACTGGCTCTGTGGCAGCATGGAGAACGAGACAACGGTTGTCCTGTCAATGATGTCTGTCGATAGCTGCGCTGAAACGAACGATATTCTCTTGGATATGCTGTGGTCGATGGATTTCCTGCAGGGTGACCACTAAACTCCCCAGGGACCATGTTACGACGTTTTAAAGATCTGATCAGATGGGGATGCCTGGATCTCATCATTGTCGATAAAGTTATCCTTTTGCGCCATCCTGCGCCGTCTAGAAGCAAGGTACCTGTTGGAGCCAATGGACCTCTGCAGATGTCCCAGGGCGGTCCCGCATGGACAAGCTTTGGGCAATCATGAGATGATTGACGCTGTCCAAGACCCAAAAGCCGGAAAAAGCCCGCGACCCGCCACCCTACCACCCGCCTCTATCCCAGCAGAGAAATGCACCTCACCTGATGACAATACTCTTGCCTTGGCCGCATCTTCTAGTCGACGGCTTCACGCATTTCGCAGGCACGGCATTCTGTGCGAGTGATTCTCACGTTCTGAATCAAGCGCCGCCATTTCTTGTACTTGAACAAGTACATCGACAATGAGTGCAGCTATTGGACCTTTAGGGACTCCTATTCGCGCAGGAGCTATGGTCGCACCATTATCTTCTCACTACTATGGTGTGATAGGGCTGTCGCGGTTGGTGTTCATGTGGCTTCCAATCTTTTGCTTTGACAGCATACGGTCGACATGATGTGATGACAGTTATATAAACCATGCGAGAAGCTCGAACCCACTTTGTCGCCTCCATGACCAACAGCTCGAATCGACAGCAGAATTGTCTGTTTTGTCAAAACCAAAGAACAAGCTATCTCATACGCATCCGACAACACCATCTTAGTGTTAGTTGACCAGCAAGATGAGGTTCGAGAAGATATCGAAACCCAACGAGGTCGTCATCCGCAACGTCTCGCGGTTCTTGTACCAGGCTGAGGCCTTGTTTGGTGGGGTAAGTAAACTCCCAGGTATTTGACAGCGTTGGTGCGATTGTGGTTTTCTTCGGTTTCTCCCCTTTTACCAGGTTCTATTCCCAGGAGTTGGTTGAGGAGGTGACTGGATCGACGAGACCACATGCTAATGCATTTGACGTTGTCTCTGTAGATCATCCTGGGTATCGTCAGCTGGTTCCTCGCCCATTGGCAGGACACTGAAAAATACCCCGGCGCACGTCTATGTTTCACCGAGATCTTTGCTGGCATTGCCATCATGTACGGAAGCATTCTTATCTGGACCTACAACTGGTACCCCGTCTGCGCCGCGGTGATCAACTGCATCCTCAGCTTGGCCTTCTTCTCCGCATTTGGGGCCTTGATTGAGTGGGATTGCACCGAAAACTGGGTCGGATGGGAAGAATTGATCGGCGAGGGATACAAGGCCTGTTGGAAGACGACCGAAGCCTTCACCTTCATTGCCGGCTTTTTCTTCCTGGTCAGCACCATCTTTGCGGTGATGACAACATCCAGCACGACTGAGCACCACATGCACATGGTGCACAGGAAAGCGAGCGGGACCAGCAGCACCGCTGAAACCCAAGTCTAGCCCAGCCCCAAAAGCATCGGCCAGATCGAACGTGAGAGTATACTCTCAATTGCGGCCAAACACACTCGTTGTCACCGATTACGGAAGGCCTTAGTTGAATCACACCTTTGTGAACGCTATTTCCTGTGGTTTAATGATGGGTATGATGGCGTGTTATTACTCACATCACACCCGGAAGAGGAGTTTGTGTACGAAATAATGGAGTGGATTTTTGCACGAGATTGACCAGCGCGATGATACCCCTTGGAACAGTTCAGTGATGGTGCCTATGTACATGGATAGCCTCTAAAAGTTGAGGAATAATGATAAATCTTTGTGCTCTTGACACCTAATCTTCCTGAAGCAAAGTGATCAGCCAGTACGACGAAAGAGAGGTCGAGAAACCCTAGTTTTACCTTTGACGTGATTCATCTGGAGCTGATGACCTCGTGTCGTGGTATGTACGGGTACTTTGTGTACAGGGACAGTGCAGGTAAAGGAGGTAGTCACTCTACAAATTGTCGATACTTGTAGGTGTATCACAGCACAGATAGTACCTGCAGAGGAACTCTTTCTTACCTAACGTGATCTCTCACAAGTCACAAGTAGATTATGTGCCAAGATGTGTATCATTCATGAGATTGCCGTCTGATGACTACGCAAGGGTGGCAGTATACAAAGTATACGTGGAGAGCAACGTGGGATGTCCGATCGGCACTCACCCCGGGAGGTTTTTTTCAAAGGTCGAATGAGAAGGAGGATGATCCGGATTTCCAAGTCCCAAGGTACGTGACATGTGAAATGAGACTCGAAAGAAGATGCTTTACCAAGTAACAAGGACATGGAGTAAATATGGCTCAAGGAACCAAGGTTGAGCTAGTTGTGCGCAATAGCAAACCTATTCGTTCATTCTCTCTCTCAGCTGATAATACTTTGATGTCAACGAGAGTCCCGAGATCCCAAAAAGTTTACAAAGGACAGAAAGTACGAGGACAAACTATGTCATATGTCATTAGATCTCGGAGACTGCGAGTGACAAGTACCAAGTTGGACGTGGACTGAGGGTTTCTTTTACTACTACTGCAAGTACAGTGGACTAACTACTGGAAAATGATCCCATGGCAATTGCTGAAAAAGGAATGGCATCTACGAAACCACGACTAAGAGCGAGCGAAGGCCGGGGTTGGACATGTCCGCTTTGCTTGGGTTTCGGGTTTTCGGAGTTGCGTGACTATTTTTTTCTTGTTTTCATCATTTGGGGACTAATTCTCTCTCTTAATATTCATTCTGTCTCTCGACTTGTACTTGACCATCCTCGCTACTCGCTTCTCGCTACATCCTACTCGCTAGGTACAACCATGTCCAAGTACCTCACTCGTCCGTAATCTCGTATCCACCCACGAGCCGAGTCCTCTATACCATGAAGGGATGAACCTTGTGTGTGTCATCCCTCCTCCTCCGTAACCCTGTCGCCAATTCGGTGCCCAGGTCCGACCCGCGCCCGAATGGCCGAACCAAAGCACACAGCCGCATGTGCCCGCCCTTCGCTGCCTTACTGCCTCGCCGCGCGTCTTAATGTGGTTTCATGTGCCTCGGAATTGACTAGAAGCCCCCCCAAAACCAAAAAACTCGAAAGTTTGTCATACGATTGTTGAACACGACACACTGACTTGGACTGCGCCCGAACCAACCGACCACTGACAGGTCGAGTATTATGGGGACAATGCGCAATACTTCTACACCTCGTGGCCTCTTCTTGGGGAGTGCCTGCTTACATGGAGAGAAAAGAGAGAGAACACAATTCCATGACAAGTCAATGAAAGACATAACCAAGTTCCCACGAGCAACCATCTATACGAAATACACCACACCTCATCAAAACTTATCCATTATTGAATCCTGTAAGAACCCTTACCTCTTTCTTACGAGATCAACAAGTATCCAATCCATACAAGACCAGCCAGCGCCACATCTACCTTTTTTGAGATTTTGGTAACCCCCTAACCAATAACAACTTCAATCTCATCATCATTTCACTTAATCCTCACCACAAATGGCCCTACTCATGGACGAGACGGCTTACAAGCTCCTCTGGATGGCCCAGTGGAAGCTGCAACAGGAGTCAGAGCACATGGAGCCCATGCTCACCAGAATGGTCGGCCACCTTTCCGTCTATCAGAGAGCGGCCGAGTACATGGAGTCACACGACGTGAGCGACACACCCACTGACAGCAGCGACGCCTTTGCCCCCACGCCAGACGCTGATGCTTGTTGTGACCAGGTGGCGGACGCCATCTTTGGGCCCGAGAAAGACCCGCCCGGAGAAGTCGTCGACGAGTTTTCAGAGCTGTTGAGACATAGTTCGAGGGGATCCTCTCCTCCGTCGGAAGGAGGATCAGTGCCACCACCAGCCGACTCGGTGATCGTCAGGACGATTGAAATCGACGCCGCCGCAGCCGCCGCCGAAGGCGAGAGGAACCCGTTTTCCGACGACGAAGAGGTTTCCAGCGTTGGCGAGGACGACATTAACTGGAGCAGCGACGACGAAACCGAGTTTGGGAGCGTGTCGAGCTTTGACGAGGAGAACGAGGGCGACGATCATGGCGAAGACGAACTTGCCCGTCGTCGCGAAATCCTGAGGGAGAAGATGGGCGACGTGGACATGGATCCGATCTGGAGGCACAAAGTACCGTCGACGTCGCCGCAGCCGCAGCCGCAATCGCCACCACCTGATTTTGACGGGTGGGCACGGTGTTTCCCACCCCTGGCCCGGCCTGGCACGCCCTCACCGGCAATAATCCATGGTGTTGCCCTCGTGGCGTCGTGATTGTCCGTGAACCAGTTTCCCGCAGAATCTAGGGAGAGTGACCAATCCGACTTCTTCTCGCTGAGAGGAGAGAAAGGCGTCTCCTTATTGGAGACAACCCTGACCCCTTGCGCTGATTTGGGCGTTTTCCCAATCTCAGAGACTTGGCAGACAAGGGTCGATGCCGGACAGGACTCACGTCGCTAGGACTACAGAATAGCCCGAGGCAAACAGGACACCTGGGAAGTGTCTGTCGTATATGATCCGGTGCTGCGATTAGCAGCCATGGCACATGGCATATGACATCAGAGATACCCAAGCTGTCGTACGAACATATCGGGCCCAGAGATATGTGGCTAGCTAGCTAGCTAGCTAAGCTGCGCATGAATACAAGGAGCTGAGAGCTCTTCGTCGCTGACGGACAGGGGCGACAAGCCCAGGCGTCACGCAAGCGGGCGCTGGAGTGACTTTTGGACAGACACTACGACTTTACGGAGCAGAGGAGAAGAGGAGAGAGCGCGCGTGTGTGTGTGGCCAGTGTAGTCAACTTGAGCTTTGGAGGCGGCAACTATTCTACCCTGGGTGTACGTAGCACCTACCTTCCTACCTCCTCGTAGTATGTGTGTACCTACAAGTACTATCCGAGTATCCAAATACACAAGCATATAATGTATAATATACGAGGACAAGGATAAAGCACATGGAACCAGAGACCCGGCGTGAATGACGCGTGATTTTCGCTGACCACCACTTGTTGGAATCATGCACATACCTATGTATACTATGTGCGTTACGTATATTTATTCAACGTGACGTACATGGGATTTGTGTACTACAGCGCAACAAAGTTATATAGTCAGCGTCGAAATGATGCGGGATTTGGTGTTGTTGGATCAGTTGTTGGATATTGAGTGTTGAGTATTGAGCATTGACACATCAACTTGGATCCTTTCTTGGACCTTTGTTCATGTTCATTTACATGTTACATTGATTTTTTGGTTCTCACACTGTTCTCACAAACTTGGCTCTCCTAAAAGAGGCGCTCCTGGCTCCTGGCTCCAGGCCATCGTCATCATTATTACCCCAGTCATTATGATCCATGATCTCCTGTGTGCGTGCGTGTGTGGGTGTACCCTAATAGGCACATAATGACCTGATCCTGACCGTGATCGTGCGCCTACCTGCCCCCTTAGCAAACCAGCCGGCGAACATGGCGGGTGAGAAACCTGTTCCCAACCCAACCCGATCCGGACCCGGACCATTTTCCATTTTTGCCCCTTGCCATACCTTCCCTGATAGCCTCCAAAACCAGTACACCGGGTGTCAAACAACAAACAACCCAGACCAAAACACCGGAGAAAGGACACGCCTGAGCCTGAGTCTGGTTCGGATCAGATCAAACAAAAGGCGAACTTGATTCTTCGCCCACGGCAAACACACCACCCCCAGCCAACCCATCCATTTTCGATACATCCGAGAGAAATTGACGAGAACCAAACGCCAACTTTCAAAAGGCCGTCCACCTTTCATACATACAAGAGATGGAGTAGACTCGACGTCTCTCTCCACAAAAGCCAGCCATACAAGACGGGAATGAAGTTTGCGACACAGAGAGACCGAGATGTGGAACAGGACGAGACGAGAAAAGAGCAAAGCACTGACTGTGACTGGTCATGGCTGTTGGCCGCCGAGTTGCACCAGGTCCTTGAGCCGCGACATGTCGTCGCAATTGACGAGCTTCTGAAAAATGCCGACCTGGTCCTGCAGGCGCTTGATCTCGTCATCCAAATGCCGGATCTCGACCTCGGACTGGTGGATGTAGTTGATCGCCCGCGACATGATGTCGGACTTGCGGACCCTGCCCGAGGGCGTGGCAGCGGTGAGGGAGGCGTTAAAGTGCGCGGCGGGAGACGTTGGGCTAGTCTCAGCGGCCAGGAGCACGCGGTGGAGCTGCATCATCTTGCCATTGAGATTGTCACGGTAGCGCCGCTCGATGACGGAATGGGCAAACTTGGCCTTGAGAATGGCCGACTCATCCTCACTGGACGAGCTGGACGGGTTGCGCTTCTTCCGAGGTCTCCCTTTCTTCGGCGAGGGAGACGCTGAAGCCGCTGGCGCGGCGCGACCGCGCGTAGGAGGCTTTTTCGCGCTGCATGTCTTGGAGTCTACCAGGCTGGGTGACGACAAGGGCGACACGTCGCTGCTGCACTCTTCCTTGACACTCGAGGCGGCAAACTCTTCTTCGGGTAACTGACAAGTCTGCTGGTAATCCATGGAAAAGTCATTGCCACTGTTTAATTGCAGCTGGGCGGGGCCGACGGTGTGCACGGCGGCCGGGTCAAATGGTTCGAGGCACGGGCTGAGATATGGCACATTTGAATACGACTGCATGGCGTAGGCTTTGGGCTGCATGGGCTGAGTCTCCATAGGCATCGGCCATGCTTGGAGGTTCTTTGCGACCAGATCATGTTCCTCACTGTCTGATTGAAAGTTGGTGAAGTATGTCTCATCCTGGAATTGCTGTGACCCCGGTTCCAGGAACAGGGGGTCTGGATAGTAAGCCATTGCCTGGGTGATTGGGCTGTGTTTTGGTGTTTGTTGTCTGCTGGACTCTGGAGTGGTGTGGTGTTTGAGTAGAACTAGTCTACAGCCGGTTGATGATTTTCAATGCAGGGACAACTTGGGGTGGGAAAAAGGTACCGGATTCTTATTCCTGAGCGGCGAGCCCGACGCTCTTGATAAAGAGGATTTTCGGGCGCCCAAGACTTCCCCCTCCCAGTTGTGTCATGGGCCATGATCTCAGGTCGACCAAGCGTCTGGACCCTGATCTAGGACCACCCCGGGGGAGGAGGGGTGGCTTGTCAAGTTGTCGAGAAGTGATAGATTCGAGATTAGGTTGAGCCAGCACCAGGCCAGCTGGGGGAACATGATTCCTCGGGGCCACTCTTTAGGGCACATGGGGGGGGGTCGAGAAGGTTGTAGCCCAGCAAAGACCAGTGAAGTCCATCAACGGGAGGGAGGGGAGGGAGGGGAGGATGGAAGGGCAGAGGAGCCAACCGCGTCAACCTACATGGCTATAGCCTCTGCTTTTCTGGGCTATTTCTGTTCGGCTGGACTTTTCCGCCGAGTAGCAAGCTGGGCGAACAAGGTTAGGGATGTGCTTGTAAACTACTGGGGAAGCATGAGAGCCACCAGTAGTACAAGTACAGACTTTAGAGGAGGGGAGGTAAGTAGCCCAAAAAGGAAGATACAAGAGAGATGGGTGGAGGGGAAGGGAGGGAGGGGCCAAAGAAGGCACGGGAGGATCATGCAATATGGAGAAATCGAAGTTTCTTTCTTGCTCGGGAAGCACGGGAGCTGAGATTTCTTCCTTCTAGCAAACTCACCTGTTCTTTGTTCGCTGCTCCGCTGCTGCTCCGCTCTTCCGCATTGGGCATCTCGAGAGTCCAAATGGGCACTAGTAGCTTGAGGCTAGCTCCGCACAAAGTTCGCAATAGTTCGGACGTGTCTCGCTGATGATCGGATCTGCTCTGCTGTGCCTCATGTTCGTTCGTCATGCCATCATCATCGAGTGCGTGGTACGAGAGGTGAGGGGGAGGCGGGTGAGTTCAAATCGAAGTTCAACGCGGTTCAAAGAGTCGGGGGGTTTTATGAGTTCATGACTCGATGAATCCGGCGACAAGAAAACATGAAATGTCAATACAACAACGTCAACGGATCCACTCGGATTCAAGCCCATGCCACATACCTGTCAAGTACTTGTACACAGCATATTACCTACTTGTACAAGCACAAGTGATAGTAATATTCTAAATGAGTGAGTGAGAAAGCGATTGAGTTGCTTGGTCCAGATCCGGTCAGCTGAGTCGGCAGTTGATAGTCGATCGGTCCCTCTTCCTCCCCCTCTGTTTTACTTTCCTTCTCTTTTCCCATCCATTATGATATGGGACTTTCCATCCAGGTATTTTAGCCTTTTTTTGGTGTTCTCCTTTCCCTTTTTGGATGCCCCCTTCTTGTACAAAGTACTTCGTACTTTTAGTATTAATTGTCTCATTCTTTATTGCTGCGGGATACAGTAAAGTTCGGATAACTCGAAATAGAAAATACTTCGCTCTTCCCCTCCACTCTCACTTGGGTTAGGTTGGGTTGTGCAGCTGCAGCGAATAATGGCATCGCATTATTGATAGCCCAGCCAGTCGATGCCAGTTGGTGCCAGCTGGTACCAGTGGCGGAACACTGGTCTTCCGAGGAAAAGACTCCTGCGCCTCAAATTGCCAAGAAGGACAAGGACATGGACAAGGACAAAGCGACTTCTGCCCAGTGTGCGGATGCGGAGAAGGACAACCGGATGGCGGTAGTGGTGATAGTGGTGGTACTTGTAAGTCGGAAGGCGGTGGGTGGTCTGACCGTGCTCTGTGCTTAACACCTCATTCAATCAGATCATGGCCTAAAGCTTCTCGCTCTTACCTCCTACTTGTCCACGTACATGTACAAGTATTACTGTGCATGTGGAGGGGATACGCCAGGAAAAAAAAAAGCCCTTGTGTGCGTACTTACTCTCAGCACCTAACCAACAACTACCAAAACAAGAAAAGAATTGAAATAATGAATGGATCACATACCTTCGCCCGAGCATCCCTATCGACCCATACCCGTGCCGTGGTTGGGTGGAACCCCGAGTTTCCATGATGAGACCGATTGCAAGGCCTTTCTCGATTTCCCATTGCGCCATGGCTGGAGCATGCCGAGTTTGCGGGATGCCCATTTCGATTGCCATGTTGAGGGAAAAGGCGAAAGCAACGACAAGGTCGCTGATGCTGCCCACACGGCTGCCTTCCTCCAAGAGTGGCTCTACCTGGGACTGATCACTTCCATATTCGCCATATGCCGCGTCACCTTCAACGGCCATGATCTCATTCGATACCCGTCGAGCTTCGTAAGTCCAACTTGTCAAGTGGTGATGACTGCATGCACAGTTCCTGACATCCCTGACCACCGTTGCAGAGGAGGAGGAAGAAGAA